AATCCAAACACATACAATGGAAGTACCAAATCAACAAACCTTGACCCGTATATATCAAGACATTCTAGGTTCCACAACATTTGAAATTTCAATATCAAATTAACAGTCACAAAACCTAGACCCAAAATCCCCACAAACCTCCAAAATAGAAAAATGAATATGTTTGAGACTATGAAATGTGCATTTGTGAGGGGTGTGTGCAATTTTTTGGGACTCTGTGTGTGCGTGTGTATGTGGTAATTATGGTGGTGAAACTAAATCCAATTAAATCAACACCTAATTCCAATTAAAGAAACTCAACACAAAAAATAAAAAGAGGCAATCAATTATTGTGTGCGCGCATTGTGAGGGAGGAGAGAGGAAACTCTTTGAGAAATTTTGTCGAACACGTGGTGGTCAAGATGAGTTTAGGGCTATGAATGGTTGTTGGAGGTGGCAGCTAGTGCAAAAGAGAAAAGGGGAAGGAGAGTTGTAGAGGATGAAAGAGAGAGATACCTAAGGGTCATTGTAAACTGTCGTTGATGGCAACGAAGGTCGTTGCCGATGTTGTTTCGCTTGGCAAAGGCAATGGGTGGGTGTGTGGTGTGGCAAAGGCAATGGAGAGAACGAGAGAGAGACAGATAGAGAGAGAGAGAGAGAGAGAAAGAGAGATCAAGAGACAAAGATAGAGGGGAAGAAGGAAAGTAGTGTTTGAAAATGCTCCACGACCACCATTAGCCCCACCGCCCCACCACTATCACAACCATCGCCGCCCTACCACTACTACCACCACCATTGTCATTGTCCCACCATCACCTTTTCCACCCAAACCCCTCCACCACCACCGCCACCCCATCGCCGTCGTCGCCGCCACCATGTCATCTTATTCTTATATTTATTATCACTACCACCATCATTCCAATACCACCATTGCCCACCATCAGGACCCACAACTACCAATATTGCCTACCACCACCCACCACCACTGTTGTCGCCCCATCATCGCCACTGTCTCCCATCACACCTACCACCACCACCACCACCATTTGTCACTACCCACCACCATCATTGCCAACCACCATTACTGCCATCCACCACCACCCACACTCACACGCACACCCAGCATCATTGTCACCCAAAATCCACCACTATCACGGTTATCGCCACCCATTACAATCATTACCACTTTTGTCCACTACCACTACCACCGCTCACCCTTACTACAATTGGTACTTTAATTCTTTTTTTTTTCCTCTATATTTGTGATTTCATTTTGGGTATAAATATAAATATATTTGTTGTTGACTATTTTTTTTTATTACTTTATGCCTTCAAGTACGGATAATAACTAATATTTTTATATCTTTTCTTTATTTCATTTGATGTTAATTTAGGTCTATCCCTACTTTTAGTACCATTAAGAGTGATAAAATGCTTTATTCTTCATAATTACTTTAACAATGTTAAACCAAGAAATAAACATGGCTACATGTCAAATAAAAAATGTATTAGAGACCGTTATTGATCATGATCTCTAGGCTACGGTTTACAAAGAAATTGAAAGAACATATTAGTGATAAATGTATAGGGCCCAATTAGTATAATTATTGCTGTTTTGGGCCGAAACATCGTCCAGGAGAGGGCGCACTTGAAAATTCATTAAATCTAAAAAATGTAATCACTCCCCAAAAAATCCAGTCTAAAGTGGATTTTTTAGAAGTCGGTATACCTAATTAAACTTATTTGACAAAAAGTACATAGAACAAAATATTTTAGAAAAAAATACACAGTTGAGATATAAAGACGTAAATACCCATTTTAGGGTCATTTAATTCAAAATTTTTTACCTTTAATGCACATTAATTCATGTATATTTGTTAATATACGTATATATTCTTGTGTGTGTGTATATATATATATATTATAACTTGTTGTTAAATCTCTTATCTAAAATTTGAATTATCTTTAATGCACATTTATTCATGCGTATTTTTTTTTGGAAAGTGATTTTATTTTCAAATTATATTTAATGTACATTAATTCATGCGTTTATTTTTTGGAAAATGATTTTATTTGTAAATTAATTTAATATCCGAATAGTGTAATAGTGTAACAATAACAATGTAACAGTGTAACAATAACAGTGTAACAATACACTGTAATAAAAACGATGTTCAATAGTTTTGTGCATGTGGTAATAAATTTAAAATTGAAATAAACTATTTTGAATAAAATTATATGAAACTATATATTTGACAGAATGTAATAGTACAATATTTTGTGTAAATAGTTTGTTACACTGTTATTATTACACTGTTACACTGTTATACTTTTATTGTTACATTGTTATTGTTACACTATTACACTATTCGAATATTAAATTAATTTAAAAATAAAATCACTTTTCAAAAAAAAAAACATGCATGAATCAAGGTGCATTAAATATAATTTGAAAACACAATCACTTTCCAAAAAAAAAAAAAAAATACACATGAATCAAGATGTATTAAAGATAATTCAAAATTTAGATAAGAGATTTAACAACAAGTATATATATATATTAAATTTCTCTCATACAATTAAGAGATGTTTAATACACCACTTTCTAAAGAAAAGTGGTGCATTAAATACACATGAATTAATAGAGGACAAAAATGTCACAAAAAAATCAGTAAAATTCAAATAGTGTATTTAGATACAAATAAGTATCAAAATTAAAGAATTAATTACCCAATATTTTTTTCTATGTACTTTTTTAGAACTAAATCTAATTTGGTGTACCAATTCTAATTTTTCCATCTAAATTCCCATGGTCCTGCATTTACAAGTTAATCGCCGACTCCATGACAGGAAAAAGGTCATGGATTTAACAACCGTGGGCTTTAAATGTGGCCCGCCAGCCTGGCATGGACTAGAAAGTTGTACTGTCAAGCCAGCTTACAGCCGGGTCAAATGGCCCGCTAGCAACACATAAAAATGAGAAATAAAAAAACTAAATATTAAAAGTTAGTACAATTTTTCAATCAGGTTTTGTAACAAGGACAAGTACACTCTAACTGAATTACCTTTTTTTTTATTACTTGAATGCCCTTGAGCTTCTTCCTTGAACCATCCGCTTCTTCTTCATCACTGATACTCGAAGACGAGACTCTCTTGGTCACGTGACGACGTTGCACTCACTCGCCCCTCTTTATTCACCCTACTCTTTATGGTTATGGTTTTATCTTCTGACAAAGTAGGATGATAACAGAGTTCCAAGGAAGCAGGAATAAAAGTTACATGGATACCGGACACAAGGGCAGAGTAGGTTTGGTTTTTTTCGGAAAGTGCAGAGTAGGTTTGGTTGATATTGCCATTAAACTTAATTGGAGTGTAATCACTACTCGGTGTATGGGCATCCATGGTTCCGGTTGGTCCACGGAATCTATTATTGAAAAAAATAGGTTCGAAACTTGATAGACCCCATAATTGGTCCGCATGAACCCATGTCTAATATCTTTTAAGAGATAGGCCCTCAAGTCATTATCCGATCCAAAACCTGGCTTATTAGCCCACCCACAAAAATTCGTTAAAACTTGGCCCAAGAACCCTCATGCCCAGCCCACGAAAACTGAACATTGAAAGTTATGTGACATATTCCCCCAAAAAAAAAAGTTATTTACTTAAATACTAAGTTGAGTAATCTAAGGTATTATTCATTATTACTTTTTGTCCATTTTAATTTATTTTTAATTCAAAAGTATAATTTAAAAACACTAAATTGTAAACTTTTTATGTGAAGATGTATATATATATATATATATATATATATATATATATAAGGGTCGCCTATCCAGAGTCCGAGTCGCCCCGCTCAATAACTCACCCAAATAAGAGCTAGGACCTACCCTACTCCAGACCCAACTTGAAAAAAATTTCACGGGCTTAGCCCAGCTCAGTCCATAGACACCCCTAACTCGGTGCGTAATCACTACTCGACTTATATGCTATGTCAAAATAGTGTTCGATAATATACATTAAAAACTTAACAATCTAAATTTCATTTCAAACTCAAGTGGCCCAATCATGCAAATGTGTTAATAGTGATGGTTGTCTAAATTGAATAGAATTTCTTTGGCATTGAGCAAAATTTATGTCAAATTTGCCCCTTAGAGTTTGGACGATAACAACAAAAATTAGTTGTTAAATTTTGATTGATTTGTATCTCACTTTATGTTGTTATGCATTTGGGAAGAATAAAAAAGGTGACATTTACATTCTCTGGTTTATATGTTACGTCAAAATTGTGTTAGATGAAATGCATGAGTGGAAATTGAATCACTATTATATAGAATTTGGATGATGAAAATAGACAGTAATAATGAAAATTCATTGTCACTACCACTATCAATATCACAATCACTGTCTAGTTCTGTGAAATTGGGATAATGACATTGTCATTGTGTTATTGTTATTGTTATTGTGTCACTATTATTGTGTCTCATTATCACTATCACTATGCATTTTGTAATATCGCTAATTATGCCATTAAAGGTAAAATAGTAATTGTGACTATTACTATCCTCGATGACCCAAAAGAATGACGCTTAACTTTATGGTAAAAAAGATCACTACAATGACACTGTCCTTCAAAAAACCCCATAAAAAAAGCCTACTCAAATATTTCTCTATTATTCTGAGTAGTTCTATAAAGATCATCATAAGAATTTGTCAATCCTAACCATATACCTTGAATCCATCCATACTCACAGTTGCACATTATTACGTGGATTGAAAGTGATAGAAACAGTCTATGAAAAATCACTAAAGTTATTATTACCATCAATTCAACAATAAAACGATGGATATACATCATAGTAAAATTTTGAATTCAAATACATATTTGTATGAAAAATTGTTAAATAAGGGAGAAAAGAATTCTGATCACTTTCTTATCTCCAAATAAAAATTGTTTATGCACGTATAAATCAATGATCAACAAAACAAACGAGTAAAGGAAAAAAAGAAAGATTTTGTGCAAATCAATTGAAATGCATGACCATTGGGGCAAACCTCAAGAGCCTATCCAAAGCACTAGGCAAAAACTTCCTTGCAAACAAGAAGCAGATATTAGTGCTCTTCCCATTGTACAAACAGTGGCTTCTGTTCCTCATCCCATTCAACAAATCAATGGTCACACGTGGTCTACCAAACTTAGCTGGATGAGATCCACCCTTTGACCAGTCAACCCACGTCAAACTCCTATTTGAATTCTTCCTCCAAGATTTCAATGTCACAAATGTAGGCAAGTAGTGCTCATCTGAATAACATGAATACCTGCAAAATTTTTTGAATACTTGAAAATATATCCTGTCGGAGATAACCTCAAGGGCTAGGTCTCGATCCATTTCGAACCACTGAGAGCCCTTTCGCCATTGATCTAGCATGATTATGGGCCTCATGCGGTGTTTATAACGGCCACGGCCTACAGACCCAAGTAGATCATAGGCTTGCACATACGTTCTAGTCGAGTTGATGAGGTAAGTGTAGATGGTGGTGAAATTGAACAGGGGAATGCAAGATTCCGAGAGGAGAACAAAACGTTGGTTGGAAAAGTCAAGAAGTGCATTGGCTAGTAGACGCCGCTCTGCTTCAATCATGTTGAAGCTTCCCCATTCAACTGTCTGCATCATTACGAAGATGGTAATTATCACATTAAATAATCCTCCGATCTATATAATAAAGTAAAATACAATCTAAATTTTAAAAGCTAAACAAAATGACTTTTGTTATTTGCAATTGAAATCTCTTTAAATTTTATTTTAAAATTAATATGATGGCTAATATTAAAATCCAAAATTTAATAGAAAAAATAGGTCCCTAAAAATATATTTGGAGTGATTTTTTAAAAGTGTTTTCAAGAATTATTTCTCATAAGTACTTTAAAAAAATACTATTTAGAATTGCCCTATCACTATCTCTAACCCCACCACTCCACCACCATCACCACTACCACCCTCCCACCATCGCCGCCGCCTCCATCACCACTATCGTCACCCTACCACACCCACCGTTCCACCACCCTATCATTATCATCACCACTACTACCATCACTACTACCATCGCCCCACTATCTCCATCACGACTACCATTACCCCACCACCACCATCACCATTACCACCACCGCCCCACCACCACTATCACCACGACCACCACCACAATTACTGCCACACCTTACCATCATCATCACCGCTATCACACCTTACCACCAACATCATTGTCCCACCATCACTCCTACTACCCTTATCGCCCCACCATCACTCCCACGACCATCACAACTACCACCACCATCACCAACCCACCCACACCACCACCACTGCCCTACTTGCACCCCCACCCCACCGCCACCACCATCGCTACCCACCACTGATTGTTACAATCGTCGTCCATTGCCACCACTCATCATCCACCATCATCATCATCTTATTCTTATATTTATTACCATTACCACTATCATCTTACTACTACTGGCGTCCATCGTCAGCACTAAATACTACCATTGTTATCCACCGTCACTCATTACCACAACTCACCACCACCACACCTACCACCACCATTCGTCATCGCCCAGCACTGCAGCCACCCACCACTGTCACCTACCCCCACCACACTTACCACCGTCGCCATTCGCCATCACTCATCACACTGTTACCTAAAAGCACCAGTCGTTACCCACCACCACCATCGTCGTCTCACCACCACTATTGCCAACCACCATCACTGTCGTCCACCACCATCCACACCCATACCCACCACCACCATCACGGTTGTCACCCATGGCTGCCACCACCACCACAGTTGTCGCCACCCACCACAACCATCACCGTTTTCTAGCATCACTATTCTCGCCCACCACCACTAACACTGTTCACCCCCATTACAATCAGAACTTAAATTTTTTTATTTCTCTTTTATGTTTGTGATTTAATTTTGGGTGTGAATACAAATATATTTATTATTGATCATTTTTTTTATTATTCCGTGTCTTCAGGTACGGGGAATAACTAATCATATTATATCATGTCTCTTTTATAACCACACTTCAACTCCCCACTAACTACCCATTAATTTTTCAAATTATTGGGCACCCTAAAGGCCACCTCTGTTTATTTCTCTGATTGGGTGCTCATACAGAGAAGAATTTGGAATGAAGAGTCATGAACTACGAAACAAATATCCATTCTACAAGTCAAATTTTTAAATGCTGGTTTGGGGTTTATTCGATATCTCCAAAATAATAGAATCGAAAATAGGATCAGAAGGATACTGGGATTTTATTTCTTCAAACCCAACAACCGTAGAAGATAAAACACTAAGGACATGTGACTTGGGGCTAAGAGCATCGGCTACACGATTTTCCATTCCCGATTTATGCTTCAGAACAAACGTGAATTCTTGCAAAAAAAAACTACCCACCTTGCATGCTTCAAATTCAATTTTTTCTTAATGAATCGCGATCCGTAAACAAAATGAATTCCCGATGGATCAAATAATGCCTCCAGTGTTTCAACCTTTATATAACAACATAAAATTCAAGATCATACATTGAATATTTCCTTTTAGCTTCATTAAATTTTTCACTAAAAAAGGCGATAGGATGGCCTTGTTGACTTATGACTCATCTAATGCTGACGTGAGACGCATAACAGGCTACTTCAAAGACTTCCTCGAAATTAGGAAGTTTCAAAACTGGAGCTCTACAAAGTTTATTATTCACATCCTCAAATGCACATGTCATTGCTGGTGTCCAATTAAATTTCCTACATTTGCGCATTTGGATAGAGGTGCTATTAAAGAACCAAAGTTTTGAATGAACCTTTTGTAAAAGGTTGCCAACCCTTGAAAGTTGTGTACTTCATACAAATTCATATGGAATGGCCATTCTTGAATTGCCTTGATTTTTGTGGGATCTGCCTCCACTCCTTTATTTGAGATAATAAATCCTAAAAAGACACTCTTGAATTTCCAAATGAGCACTTTTTTAAGTTGATATAAAATTTTTCTGAACACAAGAATCTAAGCACCTGCCGTAGATGGTCGTTGTGGTCTTCTTAATTTTTGCTAAAAATCAAGATATCATCAAAATACACCACCACAAATTTACCTATGAAATGGCGAAGGATCTGCATCATCAGTTGCATGAAGGTGCTTGGTGCATTTATAAGACCAAATGGCATTATAGTCCACTCATAAAGGCCATCCTTGGTCTTAAATGTCGTCTTCCACTCATCCTTAGGCCAAATGTGAATTTGATGATATCCAATTTGCAAATCTATTTTTCAAAAAAATCACAGAGCCATATAATAAATCTAACATACCATCAAGTCGAGGGATGGGGAACCTATATTTCACCGTGATTATGTTGATCGCTTGGTTGTCCACGCACATTCACCATGATCCATCCTTTTTGGGTTTAAGAAGTGTAAACACTGTGCAAGCTGGCTGGCAACACCAGACGTGCAGGGAGCATAGGCGATGGTGCTGGCAAGCTGAGTGACGCCAAGGGTGCTGGTGGCGGCGCCAGAGGTAGTTGGGGTGACATCTCAACTGAAGGTGTCTTGGGCCATGCAAGGGCAGGCGTGGGTAGAAGTGGAAGGGCTGGTGGTGGCACCCTAAGCACTAGCGATGTGCTGGCCAACGACGCCCCAAACGTAGGCGGGGAAAACTTTGGCATAGCTGGAAACGCCTTGGGCACTGCCGTAGGCATGGTACTGGCTGTTGGTGCTGGTGGAGTGCTAAGTGACTTGGGCTCTGACGTGGAGAACAGTAGGTAGGTGCATTGTGTAGCCCATACAATGTCCTGGGCTTTGCCAGAGAGGGGTATCACAACGCTTTTTGGCTAGGTAAGATAAATCTACTCACCCACTTTATTTATTTCCTTGACATTCTCTTGATACTGACTCTTACTTTTGTTGTAAACCCCACCCTTTTATCTTTATATATGTATGTAGGTTTATGTAGCAAGTTATTATTTCTTTTGGAAATATTAATATGGAAATTCGAGAAAATAGTAATTAAAACTTGGTTAGCTTGCAAATGTATGAAATTGTTGTAATAGAATTTGTACCAACTAGGTTTGATGTACAAAAGCATGTTGAATAAGCTTGGGTTGGATTTGGAAGAGTTTTGAATGGGTTTGAAATGAAAAATAGAGGAAATAGACAAATTTGGACAGGACCTACCGGTAGTACGCTGTTCAATGGATCCTAACTACCGGTAGTCAACAAGTAGTAAATGTCCAACAGATCCGAACTACCGGTAGTTAACAGATAGTAAGTGGCTAGTGAATCCGAACTATCAGTAGTCAATAGGTAGTAAAGGTCCAGAAGATCTAAACTACCGGTAGCTCAACAGGTAGTAGCTGTTCCGTAGATCTGAACTACTGGTAGCCCGATACGAGTTACCGGTAAATCGTTAAAAAGTCAGGATTTTTATTCTTTAAAACCCCATTTTCACTCCATTTACTCTCATTCTTTCACACCACTCTCACTCCACACCTCTTAGAACCCTAATAGAAAGACTTAGAGAGGAAGAGAGAAAGGGAAAACAAGAGTTTTAAGGGTGATTCAAGATCAAATCTTCTTGTCCTTCACACCAAAGCCAAGGAGAAAGGTAGGGGGTTTTCTTCCATTCTTGTCCATTGATGCTAGGGCTAATATATATATGTATTATTTGACTCTAAATCTTATATATTTGCTATGAAATCATCTTTTCTTGGTCTTCTTGCAATTATTATCATGTTTTACATAAGTTAGGGTTGAATACCCATGAAATCTCTTTTATTGCTTTAAAACCCTAGTTTTTTGGAGAGTGATGGATTTTCTTCTTAAATTCTTCATTTATTATTGATTTCGAAACTATAGTGATTTGTGTTGAGTAATAAAATGATGTTGTTGTGATCTCTCGTATTTTTCTCAATTGATTTTGGAATTGTCACATGACAACTTTGGGAATTTTTGAGATATGTTTGTAAATTGAGAAATTGAGTTTGGTATTGTATCTCTCATGAATATGGGTGGACAATGGGTGGCCTTTGACGAGATATCATAGAGTGTGTAGATGTTATTCATACTCCGTGTGGGTTTAAACTTTTCCTATCACTCGTAGTGAGGTTAGTGCTTTGGTAAGACTAAATCGCTATTGCTCACGGGTATCGAGGCAGAGGGTTAGTATACTAATACCTGGGTTGGATACGTCACTGCCATTGGTATGGTATACGTCATTCCTAAAGGTTGTATATCTTTAAGAAGATTTGGGTGTGTGTGTGGGCTAGATGTTACTCAATGCGTTGATTCATATGGATGTCTTACATCATGTTTGGGATACATGTATATATTGTTGTGAAATGTTCAAGTTATAAGTTATTGTTTATTCTACCAGAAATGTTTTCTACAAGAATTTTGGGAAGTATGAGATTTCGCAAGAACTTGTTAGAAATGGTTTATGATGAAATATATTTTAATTGTGTATTGAGTTCTTTTATTCATTAAATTATTGTTGTTATTTAAACTTGAGATTTGTTCAAATGTCTCTGTTTTCTTCAAAAGTTATATATGCTATTTGTAAAATGAGACAGACCATTTTATATGTTTTTCTAAACCTTGTTCAAGTTTGGGAGGAAGGTTGCTACAGAGCTTAGTGCTCACTCCCTACAAACTATATTTTTCAGATTATATACTGGAGGAGGAGTTGAGAGTAGATGAACCGGAACACTGGAAGACTCCGATAGACAGGAGTGTGAATCCCGAGGTGGACGCTTAGAGTGACACTTTCTTTTGTTCTAGACTAGGATATTTATTTTGAACATTGTGAAGTCTAGTTTTTCTGTTGAAATTCCTTTGCAAGTTTAAATGTGATTCTTTTGGGGATGTAATGGCCATGGTTGGCCTATTCTTTTGGGACACTATTGTAAATGATATATTTGATGAATGAACAATTCTTTACTGATGACTTTATTTAGTTGCTCTCATGATGTGAATGGTTTTTAGTTTGTAATGCCGTCCAGGGTGGGTTTTAGGGGCATTACAAAATTTTGGTATCAGAGCTTAGGCTTTAGGTCTTACATGGGAGTTTTATGTTATGGATCACCACAAGAGAAATAGGACCAGGTGGAACGAAATTGTTGGGTGAAATTTTATTCAAACCTTATGCTTTAGACTAAAGTGATGTTTAGGATGTCTTGTACATCAATGAAACTAAATTGTGAATTGATGTGCAGGATGGATGGTAGGCGTGGACGTGGACGAGGTCGTGGTGGCTAAGCAAACCCACCACCACCATCTCCCGATGCCATGAACGAAATCTACCAATGCTTAAGGGAGCTCACCACTCTGGTACAAAATCAGAATGGAAACAACAATAACCACAACAACCACAATGGGGGAGCTCATCCATTAGCCCAAGTACCGGGCAACGGGGATAAGAATCAGAGAATGGTCATTCTTTGAGAGTTTCTAAGACAACGCCCACTCACTTTTCAAGGAAGCTCCAATCCCTTGGATGCGGATAGATGGATCCGCGCGAGTGAAGAAGATTTGTGACGGCATGGGTGTGGCTGATGACCTTAGGGTCGGCTTGGCGACATATCTATTGGAGTGAGAGGCCGACCATTGGTGGGATTCCGTAAAGAGAAGGAGGAGCACCGATGCACTTATTTGGGAGGAGTTCAACCAAATCTTTCAAGACAAGTATTTTTTGGAATTAGTTAGAGACAGAATGAAGGCAAATTTTCTTGCTCTACAACAAGGCAGCATGACGGTGGCTAAGAACGAGAGGAGGTTTGACGAGCTATCCCGTTATGCTACAAAGTTGATATCTACTAAGGCCAGTAGGGCCAATCGCTTTGAGAAGGGATTAAGGCCTGTTATTCGGGAGAAGTTGGTGGCCCTCAACATCAGGGAGTATGGGGATATGGTTGACCAAGCTGCACTTGTGGAAAGAGATAAAGAGGACAGCCAGCGATGACAAAGCTTCGCGAGAGAAGGTTCGATCCGGATGGGCGCTAGTAGCAGCGGGTTACAACGAGCGCCACCATACCGACGGCCAGACCAGGCAAGTGGACAAAGACTTCTGACAGCCCGAGGAGATGAAGTTGCTCAGACTAGAACAAACACTGACCCGTATCAATGCTTTGCATGCGGAGAGTTTGAGCACTTTAAACATAGATGCACCTCGTTTCCCCCAAGGACCAATCAAGCAACCGGGCAGCTACCAGCAAACAAGCCACCCCTACAAAGGCTAGCACAGCAAATACCGTTACAAGCTCAAGCCCCCCGCGGCGCCAATCAAGGGAGAGTTTTTGCTTTGACTCAACCGGAGGAGGATGCTTCTAATGCTGTAGTGGAAGGTATTGTGCTTCTTTATAACTCTTGGGCCCGAATCTTATTTGATCCCAGTGGTACACACTCATTCATACGTACTGCATATGCTTTTAGTTTGGGATTGGACTTTGGGAAGCTAGAACGTACCCTTAGTGTTGACATGCCCACGGGAGAACAGTTAGATACAACAAGGGTGTGTAGAGGATGTGTGCTTCGCATTGGGGAGCAAGGGTTGGTTGTCAATTTGGTTGCGTTAGATATGAAGGGGTATGACTTTATATTTGGGATGAATTTGTTGTCCATTTTCCGTGCGGTGATGGATTATTTTCGCAAGCGGATTTCATTCCAATTACTGGGAGGGGTAGTTTTTACTTTCAGGAATGATCACAATTCTTCCCATCCATTTCCTACTACGGGCAACAGATTCTTGAAAGCAACGACAGGGAGCAATTTGAGTTTCTTGGCCAGCTTAATGGGAGATGATCGAGACAAATTCCAACCGGACGTAATATTGGTGGTGTCGGACTTTCTGGATGTTTTTCATGAAGAATTACTTGGGTTACCCCCACAATGAGAGATTGAGTTCAAGATTGATCTCTATCCGAGAATCGAACCCATATCCATTGTTCTTTAGCGGATGACACCTTTGGAGTTGAAGGAACTAAGGCAGTAGTTGGACCATTTGTTGGCAATTGGGTTTATCCGTCTAAGTACTTCACCTTGGGGAGTCCTGATCCTCTTCGTGAAGAAGCATGACGAAACACTTTGGTTATACACGGATTACCGAAGGTTGAATCGGGTTATCATAAAGAATAAATATTCATTGTCAAGGATTGATGATTTATTCGATCAGCTGAGGGGTTTTAAGTATTACTCCAAGATTGATCTTCACACAAGATATCATCAATTGCAGATCAAGGAGGAAGATATTCCTAAGACTGTTTTCCATACCCGATATGGTCATTTCGAGTATACGGTGATGCCGTTCAGATTGACTAATGCTCCAGCAGCCTTCATGGATTTAATGCATTGGGTATTTCGGCCGTATCTAGATCAGTTTGTTATCGTGTTTATTGATGACATACTAATCTATTCCCGGACTCACGAGAAACATGGACGCCGTCTCTCTATTGTGCTACAGACATTGAGAGAACATAAGTTATATGTGAAGATGAGTAAGTGTGACTTTTGGATGAAGGAAGTGAAATTCCTTGGCCATGTTGTGTCGGAACAAGTGGTAGCTGTTGACCCCGCAAAAATTGAATCCGTGATGAAATGGGAACCACCTAAGAATGTGATCGAAGTACGTAGTTTTTTGGGTTTAGCAGGCTACTACCAGAGGTTTGTGCAAGGGTTCTCCAAGCTAGAGTAACATTTTCTTTTGTTCTAGACTAGGATATTTACTTTGAACATTGTGAAGTCTAGTTTTTCTTTTGAAATTCCGCTGCAAGTTTAAATGTGATTCTTTTAGGGATGTAATGGTCATGTTGGCCTATTCTTTTGGGATACTATTGTAAATAATATATTTGATGAATGAATTATTCTTTAATGATGGATTTATTTAGTTGCGCTCATGATGTGAATGATTTTTAGTTTGTAATGCCATCTAGGGTGGGTTTTGGGGGCGTTACATTTGTAGTTGCCCATTTTGATAAAGTCGCAATGACAAACTTCGTACTGGCTTCTCAGAGAGTCAAAGGAGCTACTGATAGGGACGGTTTGAAGGTAACTTTGATTTTAGTTCCATAGATTGTGACAACAGTATTGCCAATATTGTCTCGTCTTTTCATATCCCTCCCGTTGTTCTTTGCCGCTAGGCCGAGGAGGACGAGCTTGCGTTCTTTGACTCCTTTGGAGAGATTGTTTTTTATGATGATGTACTGGAGGTGGGATTGAGGTTTCCCATGCCTAGGCCTATCTGTCGTATTTTGGGTCAGTTGTTTCTGGGTCAATTGTCGCTTGCCCCAAGGAGGTTGACCCCGAATGGTTGGAGGGTAATTTTAGTGTTCTTTTCACTATGGAGACTGGTTCACGACAGAA